CTAATTGCACCATTCCGATTTTTTGTTTTTTTCGGATCTTGCATTTCCAGAAAAACTTAAACAGACTTTTAAGTTGCTAACGCAATTAAATATCAATGACGCCATGACACCATTTAATCTTGAATGCTATTTGCGATATTTTCGTTATATTATGGTCAAATTTTGTGGGAATTTAGGACGTTTATTGACGAGTAAATGCACAAAAACTCACTCCCTGCAAGTGTGGAATGTGAATATATTGCAGTCACTTACCGATATAACGTTACCCAGAGCTGATAAGGATCTGTTAATATTAGCTCCCTCTTTTAATCTATCTCCGGTAGCACCCGTACTATCAGCTCTTTCAGATCCTATTGAAAGTTTGATAAACAAAGATAATCATCTACATTTAACTAGGTCATTCAACTCGACCTCCTTCGCCAAGCACAACACTTGAATCCCATAGATGTTATCCAATTTGCAAATGACCTGCCGCATTACATTACGATATGCAATTCCAAATATGATCTTATGACAGATTCCAGTCCTGTCCAAGGATTGATGAGCAGTACCTATATACAATTTTTACATGGCGTTATATAGGCTGCTGGTTACGATGCAGACGAGCGCCTCATATCTATTATTTTGAATCAACTTGTTAAAAATTGTTCATAAGATAATAGATATCTTAACAGTTTGTTTTTGAATTTTGCATCACCAAAGAATATTCCATTGGCCACATGTCAACATCAGATTTATGGTAAAAGTTGAAACACCTCGCTAAATCGAGCCAAACGTTTGGTATATAATCGTGCTAGAGTTCAGTCTATGGTCTCAAATGATGTAAAACTGAAGGAATGACACATACCTGCTAAATCTACTAAATTAATGGTACTGCTCTTCTTGGTTTCAGAACCAATACTATCTTTTGATAATCTGATCAAAAGTGATCGTGACTACTGTATGCCCGACTACTAGTAGCATTCATATTAGTCGAGGCTACAGTTCTTGCAGCTGTGCCTATTTATTAAATAAAGATAAATTTGATGAATTAATAGGTAAATTATTGTTAGAGTAATATATTTGTGCACGTCTGGGTGCTATTCAAAACATAAAACAAAAACACCTTTGTTTGTTTTAAGTACCCTAATGTTTCTTTTCCTATTTCTTGGTACTTGGCGAAATGAAGAACGAAATATTACTGTGGTGTTCTTCAGTACTTCCTGTGTTATTTAGGTTTTATTTCTCTGTATTTTTGTTTTGTTTTTGGTATTCCCTGTGTATTCTTCGGTTGTGATGGATGTTATCAATTCCAATGTGGTACTGATACACCGATTTGGGAATCAAGGATTAAGGATATGGCTCGCAGCATTGACGGATTTAAGAAGAACTTATAAACCAAATCAAACCTTGTTCCATTCTCTTCTCGATTTCTTGATAACTTCCAACCGGTGTGTTCTTTAATCCTTCTACGTAAAACATTCCAAGTTTAGCATTTTGTCTGACTGTCAAACCACCTTTAGGATTGTCTTTCGCCAACAAGTCCCTGACTTGTTCATTGTAAATTTCTAACATGGAAAATGTGACCTCAAATCTCTGTAAAAAAAATGTCTGTTTAAGAATTTTCAGAAAATCAAACATTTGACATCTATTGAAGAGTAATCTTTTAAATGTGTCTTTTCATTTTGCTATGTAAATTCATTAATTATTAACATTTGATTAACCAATGGGAATAGATTGGTTTAATTTAACTAATGTATGTGTTTCAAATAAACTTTAGGATTTCATTTTGCTATTGTTAATGATGAGATTAAAGGCGTATTTGAAAGTGTCTATTCCCGACTAAAATTGTGTGCGTCGACATGACGTTACGAACGAAATTGCATAACTTTTGTAACCACTGATTCAGGTTGATTCAAGATGTTATTTTATTATATAATGATCAACCTACTTTATTATCTTTTGTGTTTGATGCTATTTCTTTAAACAATTCGTCACAAATGATTGGTACTATGCCTCTGAAATAGATAAGTGTTGAAGTTCACACAATTTCGACAAATTTGAAGTCTCCTCCAAAACAAAAATAGAATTGTATTTCTGGTAATGACACCTGGAAAATACCTTTGTCAAAATATACAGTCACACCCAGCTATTACCCCGTCCCATACGCCAGTACTGATGGGTGGAAGGAAAATTTTGACACTAGATCAACAATATCTCATAAACTTACTTATTTGGTCCGTATCCAACCATGGAGTACGACTTGCCAGACCCAGTCTGTCCATAAGCA